ATTCCATGGTATACATATACCACAGCTTGTTAATCTATTTCTGGGTTGGTGGGCATTTAGGTTGTTTCCACAATTTGGCAGTTGTAAATTGAGCTGTGATAAACAGTCTAGTGCAAATGTCCTTATGATTAAATGGTTGGTTTTTTTTTCTTCTGGGTAGATGCCTAGTGGTGGGATTGCAGGATCAAATGGGAAGTTTAATTTGAGTTCTTTGATTCTCCATACATCCTTCCAAACAGGTTGTATTACTTTGCAATTCCACCAGCAGTGTAAAAGTATTCTTTTCTTTACACATCCATGTTAGCATCTGCAGTTTTGAGACTTTATGATGTGGGGCATTTTCACTGGGGTTAGGTGAGATCTCAGGGTAGTTTTGATTTGCATTTCTCTGATGATTAGGGATGGTGAGTATTTTTTCATATGTTTGTTAGCCATTCATGTCTCTGTTCATGTCTCTTGCCCAGTGATAGATGGGATTATTGCCTCTTTTTCTGTTGATTAATTTGAGTGAACAGAAATTTATTGATCCATTGTTCTACAGGCTGGGAAGTACAAGATCTAGACTCTGGCATGTAATGAGGGCCTTCTCACTGCATTGTCACACAGTGGAAGGCAGAAAGATAAAAAGAGCAAGAGAATGAATTCACTCCAGCAGTCCCTTTTTAAAATGGCACTAATATATTCATGATGGTGGAGCATCTCCCATTAGGTCCCACCTTCAACACTGTCGCATTGAGGATTAAGTTTCCAACATGTAAATTCCGGGGACACATTCAAAGTATAGCATAATGGAAGAACTAGCTAAGATGAAAGGACAATAACAAGCGTGATGGAAGAACTAAGAAAGGATTTGATTTTTAAAATGCAGTATTGTAGTGCCAATCTGTAGTGGAGGGACTAAAGAGCAGAATTTATGATACATGAAAATAAAATCAGGGATGTGGTATAAACTTCAAAACCTATCAGAATGCTGAGGAAAAGAACTAAAAGTTAAATGATATGACTTTTTAAAAAGCAGAAATTAAAAACAGAGAATGGAACTATACTATAAAATGTATAGGTTTTTAGGAAACAAGATAACTGAAACTAAAGAAATAGTTAAAGATATAATTGAAGAAAACTGTTGTGGGGAGAAAAAATTATCGCGAGTAAGCAACTCAAGCAAGGTAAACAAAGGGAGAACTTCATCTAGACTCATAGTGGCTAAAATTTGAA